TGTATATCTATCACACTGAGGAGATTTAAACTTTAAGACTCCTTATAAGAAATGGAAAGGGAGGTGGATATTTTTTGCTGTTTTTAAAATTAAATAGGCAGCTAGTATTGTTTTTAAAATTATTATGAAGAACAAGTTTAGGCTTTGTTGGAATGTGCGTTGTTTGCCTGGACTGCTCAAGGCCTGAATGCTTATGTAGGAGGAACTCTTTGAGTTGACTTCTTGAATACCGTCATGCTGTTTCACATCTGATACTCTTTGATGAAACATAGGAGCTTTGTCTTATAACAGGCTTATTCAGAGTGATACAAACTACAAAAGTGAGATCTTGGAAGAGTGTTGCCGTTTTCATAATGTAATAAAAATACCATAATGATAAATAATAATTAATAATAGTGTGTAATAAGCATGTCATAAAAACAAATTTTATGTTTCCAAGATCACTGCTTTTATAATTTATACTCTGGTAAAGGAGAAAATCCCTGGAAATATTCATTTTTAGGAGGGGGTTCGCGAGACTTGACATTTTAGTGAAAGGGGTTCACAGGTTGTTTAAGTTTGGGAACCACTGCTCTAGCGCTAGCTCTTTCATCACAAGTATGTTGTTATGACTGTATTTGATCAATTTCCAAATTACAGGTATCTATAATTTGTATAATCTGATTTGCAGTACATATCTTCAGAGCACCAAGATACCTACTGTAACAGATCGTAAATCTTAGTATTAAATAGTCAAGCTGCAAATCTGGCCTCTCTTTTTATAAAGCTGGCTAAACTCCTTTAGGACATTAAAAACAAATTGAAGCATGGCAGCGACAATTAATGTTTTTGACACAGTATAAAAAAAGAAAAGAGGAAGGGGACCGTCAATCAAAATTTAATCGAGAGAATTAGACCAAAAGCATTATGCTAAATAATGTTCCTAAACTGGCTTTTGTGTAGGATGACATGCCAGAAAACATCCACTACCCAAAGCAGTGACTGAAGTTAAATACTTAGTTTTTTTTACATAAACTGTCACAACAAGGCCTTTTGGTTCAATCAGAAGAATGAATGAATTAATTATAGTCTGACAATGTAAGTGTACATTTCTATTTCCTAAAATACACACTTCTAAAACAAATTTCTGTGGCAGAGTTAGATTTGATGGTAGACATTTTGGATACCTTTGCCTCCTTTACATTAAAGATTCTTACAAATGAATCACAAATTGGAAAAGACAATTTGGTGGGAGGCTTCCTTTCTCCCTTTCCTTTGTGTGGCAGTGTAATGACTAACCACAATTTACCTCTTTACTACTACAAATGGTTTTCCTCCCTTTATATTTCCCCCTTTTTAAATACAGTCTGCTCACGCTTTAAACATAATGAGCCAAATTCATCCCTAGCATAATTACTGAGTTTGTGGAGTTACCCCAGGAATTAATTTGGTCCAATTTATTCAGGCTAAACAAACTGTATTCCCTTAACTTGTCCCTGTAAGTGATGGTCTCATGTCTGTTTGAAGTGTGATATTTCTCCTGGACATTCACAGAAATAAATAATTCCTCCTGGAAAACAAATCTCTTAAATAAAATAAGCCTTTCCTTTGGAACTGCATAGACATTCTTCTTATGTTTGATCTGCCTATCTGGCGTAACTAAGCAATACTGTATTTTTCAGCTGCTCCGAGATAGATCAATACCACCAGTGGCTAAGTAGGTCCGTGGTGTTAAATATTCAAAACATCTCATGCATGCAGAACTCAATTTAATACCAAGGTCTGTGTAGGTTTGGAAAATATACCTTTTATATCACTGATGTAATTGCATTCCTTTTAGATTTTAACTTTAGAATTGGTTTGTACGGTTTTCACAAAATGGACTGTTTTCACTTTGAGTTATGAATTTGAGAGGTGGAAATGGCAGATAGGAAGATGAATAGCCCAGTACTGTGGGCTTTTTAGAAACATACCAAGCTTTGTTTACAATGATTTATATACTGAATCTTAAACCAATTTCTGAATACATACGTGCTAATAAATACATATTTTTATCTGTTCTTTTAGCAACAGTGTAATAAAAAAGTGTAAATTTAAATTAAAGTCAATGAATCATGATTGTTTTCCTGTATGTTAATCAACATGTCCTGCTGTATATGAGTTTTTGACATTATCCTATGTTATCCTGGTCATACTAAATAATAATGATCAGTCATTAGAAGTGGCCAAACTATTCATTATAGTACTATTCTATATAAATGTAGGCCATTTTTATTTAGGAAATTGGTCACGAAACAATCCTGATTTTCTTCTAGTGTATGCATTGATCTTAAGTATATGCTGAATAATTTCAATGACTACTTTGCAGCCTATACAGTGTTTACAAGCTGCTCACGTTAACTATATGCTCTTTGTTGTTTGTATTTTGTGGTCAGTTGCTTAAGTCACATGGTATTGTTTCCACTCTTTGATTGGATGGCTGATACATTTTAAATAGTAGAAAAGCAAATAATGAATATCAAACCTCTGGTATGAATTTTTGGATGAGTAAACACTTGTGCTAAAGCTTATGGAACTTTCAGGGTTTGGAAACATTTTAACTAATAACCAGCAGTTGGTCCAATATTTGCCCTTATTCAGCAACATTTTAAAATCTCATTGAAGTTAAGCCTGCAATTGAGGCCCTTATGAATAATATAACCTCATGAATCAGATCACTTTTTTAAAATACTGTCCAACCAGCTCTTTCACTTTTGTACAGTGGTTTTCATCTTCAAAGCATTCTAAAAACAGCAATGAATCGTTAAAAAAACGCTACTAATTATTAACGAAGAAGAGAGCCACATATGTGAAGTCGTATGGTTTGCTCCAGAACATGGTCTAGAGAGTTGGTGACTTGCCCAAGTGCACAGTCAGAGGCATGATTAGAATGTGGAAGCTCCTGATTCGCTGTTCTGTGGCCAGACTATGCATTTCTATCATGCATTTTTCCCAAAGAAGGTTGTTTTGGGGGCCTGATGCGGCTGTAAGAAGGGGGCTAAATGACGTACAGAGAGAACTCCAAAATGAGGATTATTTTGATTTGTCTTTTTGTTTCTTCTTTTTGGTTCCAGTGAAATGAAGCAGAAACTTGATGAAGAGGGTAACAAGTGCAGTATCCTTTCTAAGCAGCAGAAGTTTAATGAGCACTGTTGCATTCGCTGTTGCTCTCCTTTTACGTTTCTCATCAATAGCAAGCGGCAGTGCCAAGACTGCAAATACAACATCTGCAAGAACTGCAGCTCCTATCAGAAGAAGGACAAGACATGGCTTTGCAATGTCTGCCAGCAAGCTAGGTAGGTGATTATTGTACCACTACCAGGTATAGAACAGCTGGACTGAAATCTTGACTTGACTTTTCCTCCAATTCCCTCTCTTTGTCAGCTGTTAACAGTGATGAGGTGAAAGACATAAGATACAGAATACTCTAGAGTGTCTAGAAGTTGATATTAAGGATTGCTTTGGGCCAGGAATGTTTTATTCTAAATCTGCTTTGCTGGATTGATAAACCAACAAGTACTAATTGGATTTAGTCTGCATAAAGGGTGTGATCCTTAAATATCTAGGTTACTAACATATAAGCACAGATGGTTAAAAGGTGGCCAGCCATTTTGCAGCAATCACTTGAAAATAAGACCGGGAGGGTGAAGAAGGGTCTCTCACAGTAGATTATCTTGCAGTGAATTTGTCTGGAATGCTTTTCTAAATGACAGACTTTCCACAGAACACTAAATGCTTCAAAAATACACTCCAAACAATACCATAATTTTCACAACTGGGACTAGTTCAAAAAATGCTGCCTAATGGAACCTTGGATAGAATTGCTTCCCCACCCCTTGGGCCTGAGATAACCAACCCTTTTAAACCAGCATGAAAAAAAACCCCAAACCAGTAAAAAGAGCCAGCCCACATAAAATAGCTCTTCAGGGCCAATCTTCCTGGGAGACATTTGGTCTTGCATGGCTCTGTTTCAATTATGGTAGTTTAACTAAAACAAACTTGGCCCAGGGTGGCCACGTAATCTCAGTCCTCCTCTCTCCTGGCGGGGAAAGGAGACCACCCTGATCCCTTTTCCAGGCTCCAATTCACTCCTGTCTAAGAGGAAGTACTGCTGTTTCTTATCAGGAGCTCTCCTTTAGACCACTGAAAGACTTAGATATTAATGGCATCCCATGAACCACGGCTGTCAGCTTCACCCTTTGCCTGGTTGCTAGGTTAGGCTCTGGTGCCCCGATGCAGCATGAAATACCTTTCCCTGCCTCCCTACAGCACAAAGAAGGGGAGCAGCAGGGGCATAGGGAGAAGAGGAAGCAGCAGCCCCCCCCCCCACACACACACTGAAGTCCGCATTTATATCAAAGCAACCCCATTGGGCTTGATTCTGAACTTATTTACAACAGTGTAGATCAGGAGTAATTCCGGTGAGTTCAGTGGGGTTGCACTA